GGAGAGAGAGAGAGAGAGAGAGAGAGAGAGATGTATAACAAATGAATCATTCATAGAAATCCAAATGTTGGATTAGTCTGGTGCTATATTAATTCCAAAGGTCAATGGTTGTCGAAGTCAAAGCTTCTCGACATTAATACAATAAGACCAACCTTATTCTTTTGAGGATGAGGTAATTTCCACAGGTGCTGCATTTCCAAATTTGTTGTTCTGCTTATGATTCCATTTGGCAATGACTCGCATGCTAAAGGCTTTGCTTGATTCTAAAACAACAACAATCATAGCAAAAAAAGTTACAAGAATCTCAATTATAAACAACAACCATAAGATCTATAATTAAACTAAACTTTGTGGAAAAAATACCTCACAGAATTTGGATTCTGTGGTCTGGTTTGAAATGGAAAGAACCAACATGAATGCTTTCTGCAAATATGTATAAAGAGAGATTAAAAAATTCGAAGCAAATCAGTTATTTGAATGTACAATCTATTCGGTAGAGCCAACAGGAATCATTTATATTTTATCTTACACAAATGAAAAAAAGGAAACAGAATAGTTATGTTTAAATTATATGTTTAAAATGTCAAGGTAGTTAACGAAGGAACTAGAAAATAAAATACACTCACAGATTATGCTGTTGGAAAGCAAATGCAGGTGTTGCACATAAAAAAGAGATTTTGGAACAAAATTTATATAATTAATTTTTGAAACAAAAGAATGGCATATCTTCAAATCTAGTCAACATAAAATATATAAAAATGCCACATAGCTGTAATTCACAGCGTTGCATACAGTTCTGCCATTAAAATGAACAAAATTTCTCACAAAAAAAGAAGAATTACAGATAGAAAAATTAGTGCAAGTAAAGCTGTCCAAGCAAATGATCTCCTTTTTGTAGACCCTTCAAGCCGAGAAACCTGCCAGGAATGAAATAGAGAAGCAATTCAAACACCACTATATTACAGTTTGCAGGAGGCAACAGGAAAAATTTCATTTAAATAATTACATCATTACTTTCAACAAAAGCACTTATGGTAAGGCTAACTTTTTTATCTATATCTATCTATGTAATCAAGCAATTGAAATCTAATGGCAAATATACTATGAAGCTCGGTAGATTCTATTAAAATTGAGTCAAAGTTTTGTACTATCGAGTCTCTACAATACATGATTTCGGTCACCTATTTATTACAATAATTGGATTGAGATTTGCAAAAATCTTCATTATGAGCAACAAGATCTTTCCTTTTATATCATTTTAAAAGATTGAGATTTGCAAAAATCTTCATTTTATTACATTAATTTCATACTTTCAAGTCTACGCCTTATTAACACCAAAAATAAAGCCTTAAAAAGTGGGATTTAGTATCCCATAATTGCAAGCAAATAGTAAAGAAGAGAAAAAAGATAGGAAGCGATTTTTGTCAATGAGTAAAGAGGAGTTTTTCATGTTCAAGAGGGAGTGTGGGTTGTTTTTCCTTTTTCAAGTTTTCAAATTTAAGAGAAAAAAACTCTCATTTGATGAATTAACAGCGTTTTACTCTCGACGTCCAACTTATCATCTTCTTAGGCGTTCTCAATTCTATCTCAATCATTTATATAAAAAAAGGACATCTCTATCATTAACTTCACTATTTCATAAAATATAATTTCTCTATATACCTCTTTTAAAGCTTAGTAAATCATGTAATTGCATAATTGAATCACAAAACTAAATAAACTCTGCATATGCTTTTAGCTATGTAATTAGAGGGATTGGTATCATTATTTTATCAACACAAACCAAGAATAAAGATAAAAAGCCGAAAAGGGAACCGCAGAAGGTGAATCCCATCACTGATCATATCAACAAAATGATTGAAATAAGTTCTTACCATGAGGAGATTAAACAAAAGATGAAGATAAAGAGGAGAACAGTAATGGCTGGAGAGCAAAGACCTGAGGTCCTTAGCAGCGAAGAGGAGCCCGAAAAGAGCGATAAGGGTTGACTAAGTATTCGGATTTGATAAAAAAACGATTTTTTTGCTCCGGAGAAGACGAAAGATGGAGACAGAGACGGGAGGGATAGAGAGAGAGCAGGTGGAACGTTCAAAATGCGCATGCGACTTCGCAGTCAAGAAACAGGGGCGGTAGAAGGCGAGCAGGAGTCGGTTTGGTTTGTTAATTGTTTGGATATGGTTGGTATTTGATTCATTTGAAACACATCATTTTTTATGAAGTTTAGCTATTCGGAACAAGCCTACTAGCTCTGTTGGACGAATGGATTTCTTATTTTACGATTAGTTTAGGAGCCGCCGAGCGATGTTCTCTCGGTGGTTGGTTGAAATTGAAGTTCATTAAATTGTATTGATTTTACTAATATTTATTTACCGTATAAAGAAACTCCGGGTACAAAAATAACATACATGATACATTGTACAAACAAACTTTTTACTGACGGGGTGACCCCTCAATTGCTCAATTTGCTCCCATTCGTTCGTCTCTTAGTCGGACAAAGCACATGATGACGGTATGTGGTCTTCTTGTCTGGTTTCACTGATGTTCCTATAGCAGTTCCTTGGTCCGCTTTTGCTCGCTCGAACGGTCCTGTGGATGTCCTTGAATGGGCCTTAAGGTCAGTTGGCTCGTCATATGGCCGAGCGACCCATTGGTATTTTGTGACGACCTTCGGGTTTAAGTGTCGACTATCTGAATGATCTGATTTGGCTCTCCCAGCTGGCTCTGACACATCTCAGCCATAGGCCCACCTCATTTGGAGATTCGTGTCGTCTTGATCTAGTCATACACATATAGTTCCCAACTTTATTGTTTTTTGAAAGTTACAACTACTATGAAAACATAAAGTTTATCACTTCCTTAATTGCAGTTTCAATGAGCATTTACTAATAAAATTTTATAAATTTCCTTGTGCTACCACTCTATAAATAGCTTTTGTTAGCTGTCATGACTAGTATCTCTCCTTTGTCTAGAGCCCTGATTGTTCTTCCTGTGACATCCTTTAATGCCGAGTGAAAAGAAAGGGTCTGAGGGGTCCTTCCAAGCTGACAGTTGAGAAGATCCACCCTTCGCATAATCTTTCTGAGGGTCATCGTGCCCGTGCAAGTTCGACTGGGGAATGACAAAAAATGCCCGAGGGCGGTCAGCCTGCGAAGAAAATGAGAATAAATCAATTAACCTCTAAAAAGTTGTCTTCGGATGGACACGGTGATGATGATGATTCTTCAAAAGATATTCCCTTGGCACGTCAGAGGTCTGGGAATAGTCTACAAATTCCTCCCGCAATCAAGCCATCCATCCAGTCTGAACGCCAGAGGGCGACGGTCAAAGGGCTTCTAAGAGTGTATTGCCTACGGGCAAGGGTGCGACTAATTCTTCTCGAGAGCTGGGAGCATTTCTCTTGCGCCCAGTGATAATTGATCATTTTTGCTCCCGGCTAAAGTGGATAGACTCCTAGGTAGAAGTGTGATTTCTGATTTACTTGTGGAGACCTATCGTTTTGATTTGCCTTTATCACTCTATGTATATGTATGTATGTATATATA